TGATAAACCCACGCTGACGGGATGGTGACTTTTTGGTTCGAATTGGGAGCTCGGCAATAATGGGGATGAGGTTGAGGGTTTCGCAAATATTCATAAAAGAGATGACTTTTTTTGCACAACATATTAAACATTTCTTACGTTTGCTGTGAAAATATTAGGCCCAGTTCCTTCAAGATGTTGGTGGCATGAACTTTCCGTCGAGTGCTGGGGAGGGGGGGGGGGGGGGGCGTTTCACGCCCCTCCGTCTAACTCGGCTCCTGGGCCACTTAGCGACACGCGGTAAGCGGCAATCGAAAGAGCGTCAAAAATAAGGAGGAAAACACTCGGTCATTTTAAGGTCAGGGCAAAGGGCAAGTCACCAGAGTTAATCAAATATCAAATTTTGTCGATTTCAACGATTTTAAACACCCGACGGCTTAAAGGAAATAGTTCACTTTCACGAAATTATTTTTTTTGCAACGGATTTATGATTTTTTATGTTCAAAATAATCAGCAAAGAAAATAAAACCTTTTATAACAAAAGATTATTTTCTATATTTTGATATAGGAAGAACTTTTCAGTTTCTGTAAGGCACACGCGATCCAGTATGAAAAGAGCATGGGTCCCGAAAATTCTTCAGAAACAGAGAAATTATCGCAGCCACCGGCATTTGGGCGATCTGCTCGATCTGATAATGTTCCCCTGAATGTCCTAATTGATCAGTACGAGAATTTCTCTAGAGTTCTCGTAGATAATTTCTCTAGTTTCTGAATAATTTTCGGGACCCATGCTCTTTTCATACTGGATGGAAATATATGCAAGGCACACATCCTCAACGCAAGACACCTTTTTCGGGACGAGAAATAGAATATTTTGCCTAGGGTGATCGTTGGGCTGTAAAAGCTCCTGATTTGCTCGTCTCAGCCCAAGCTACGGAACTGCTATTCCAGTTCAAAACCCATGTTAAAAAGTGAACTATTTCCTTTAAGCCCTTCTGACTGCCGTTTTTCGATCGTTTGGCGGATCGTATGGTGATCGTATCGTGATCGTATGGTGATGGGATGAGGATCGGCTCGCCCGTTTCCCGATCGCCGCGATGGTAATCGATGTGTGCAGTGAGAACCGGGAAAAAAAAAACGTGACTGTGCACGACGTTCGGAAGCAGCAGATCGTACGTCGTAGTGCGTTCCGTCGAAAGATGGATTGAGTTTATCTTTTGTCTAGATCGTATCGTACAGTTGACATCGTGTGGGGAACTCGCTGTGCTGCTGCTTTTCTTGCTGCTGTCTAGTGGAAGGTTTGTGCTAACATATTTGATATAACTTACCTTATCAGTAGCATACTTTAAATAAATAACCTTGATTAACACAATCAATGTAGGTACTTCCACTTAGAAGATACCATACGAAAAATCATTGAGTCGTTCAGGTGCGTCAATTACATCAAAGTATTAATTTTATTGCACGAAAAAGCCTTACCCGATAATGTTAATTTGATGCTTAAATTAAAGAAATGTTTTAACTACATTTAACATCTTTTGAAGCATGAAAAGTATTAATTTCCCTCTTTATAGATCTCGTCCGTTCATGGCGGCCAATCAACGCGCTTTCCTCAGATGACGTCATCTGTGCGCCAGCCTATTCAGACGCAGCCGGCAAGCCTCGTGGTGACCGGCGATTTGATTTACCGGCGACTCCAGAGATGGTACATAGATATCTTACCAATGAATTTCTGTTAAGTTCAACGAACCGATTTTCAAGAAAACCGATGCACAGCATTCACAATACTCACTTTTAGGTTGTAGGTTACTTTTCAGGACAATTTGACATGATTGTCTATTTTTCCACGCATTTTCAAAAGCGCGTACCTTCCACGGCCGAGAATGGTTTCCGCCGCCATGCTGCTCCAATCAAGCCGAAATGTTGAATCACTTCACGGAACAGCAGACCCGACTATTCAAACTAAATTATGAATTAGAGAGATGTTTTAAACTACATTTAACGTCTCTTCAAGCGTAAAAACTAAAAAGTATTTATTTCGTTCTTATCTATCGCCGCCGGCAGTAATGGCGGACGCAGACTCCCACACGATCCGCACGATCCGCACGATACCAAGGCCCTATGTTGTGTCTGCAACATTAAACAAAAGTGCCGGATCTTTCCAATCAAGAAAAAACGGAAACGCAAGCAAACATTTCATTCATTCGTCGAGCCAAAGCAATAACAATACCACAATGAACCAAGTTTTGAGCCAAATTTCAAATTCCTTTTTTTCCCCCGTTATCATTTCTTCACATTCTTCATCAGTGTAACACATTTCATTTTTCATGCGCCTTTTGTCTCGCGCCATCGTTCTAATATGGACTTTGTTCGGACAGAACATCCTCCCCCCTCCACGCGCACGCGCGCGTGAGACGCCGGTATCACTGGACACCGTCAGCAGTTATCTCGCCTCCTCGAGAAGGCATATCTTGGTGGCCGGTCGGTGCACTGTACCACCACGAGCGCGCAGACGAGCTGACCTCACCCGGCCGTCAGGGCCGGGCATCACTTCGATCACTCTGCCGAGGGGCCACTGACCCCGCGGCACGTTATCTTCTGCGATCAAAACCAGGTCGCCGGGCGCCAAGTTCCGCATGTCTCTTGTCCACTTGCGGCGACAGGTCAGGCTGGGGACATATTCCTTCAGCCATCTGGCCCAGAACTGGTCTGTCAGAGTTTGTGTTTGTCGCCAGATCCTCCTGCTCGCAGACTCGCCGTTGTCGAAGACGCCAGGTGGCAGACAAGTTACCCGTCGGCCGAGCAAAGATGGTTCGGCGTAATCGCCTCCAAATCATCCACTTCTGTGGACACATGGGTCAGAGGTCGACCGTTGACCACCGCCTCAACTTCTGTCAGCACGGTCTGTAGCGCTTCGTCCGTGACAGTCAGCTGGCTCAGCACTGCTCTCAGAGCACGCTTAACGGAGGATATTAGCCGCTCCCAGGCGCCTCCCATGTGACACGCACCTGGCGGGTTAAAATGCCACTTAATGCCATCTTGTGCGAGGCGGTCACTGATGGCGTGGACGTTCCATGCTTGGATCTGCCGACGCATCTCCCTCTCTCCTGCTCGCAGATTCGTCCCGTTATCAGAGAACACCTCTTTCGGTCTGCCTCGCCTTGAGACGAATCTGCGGAACGCCATGAGGAAGCTGTCGGTGCTGAGCGAGTGGCACAGCTCGAGGTGCACTGCCCGGGTGGCGAGGCACGTCACCAACAGTCCGTACCTCTTCTCATGCCGTCCTCCCGTCTTGACGAGCATAGGACCAAAAAAATCGAGACCGACGCTGCTGAACACGTGCCGCGTGTCGAACCGCGCCTGGGGCAGATCTGCCATCTTCGGCTGGCACGGTTTTGCGCGGCGCCGGCGACACACCGGACAGCTGTGCAGGACTCTCCTCACCATTGCTCTCCCTCTGGGTATCCAGAATAGCTGTCGCAGATCGTTCAGTGTCTGCTCGACTCCGGCGTGCAGTAGCTTCTGGTGGACGTCCTTCACGATCAGAGCTGTCACGCGGCTGTCCCGCGGCAGGATGACCGGATGGCGGGCGGACTCAGGCAGAGGGGCGTTCACCAGCCGCCCACCGACTCGAAGCAGGCCGTCTTCATCAAGAACTGGAGAGAGCATAAGTAGACAGCTACTCGTGCTGATGGACCTTCCGCTTCTCAGCGCTACAAGCTCTTGAGTGAACGCCCCACGCTGCACCTCCCGAATGACAAGATTCTGCGCGTCTTGCAGCTCATCAGCCGACACTCGACAGTGGACCACTCACTTCAAGTCGTTCTGGCGATCTTCGAACGAGTGAGATGCCACGAAGTTGATCAGGAATCGCTGCGTCCAGCCGACTACACGCCTGTAGCGCAGCCAGCTTGAGAATCGCTCTGGGTCAGGAATGACCGCGGTTGTCTCTCTGGCTTTGTGTTGAGTAGCTAACACCACTCTAACTTCAGGATCCTCATCAGGTAGCTTATGCTGCTCACTACCAGCCGGCCAGCAGGTTTCTGGCCTCCACAGGAAATCGGGCCCACGGATCCAACGGCTGTCCTTAGTGAGCGCAGAGGCCGTTAGCCCGCGAGAGCAGTCATCAGCTGGGTTGACCTCACCAGGAACGTGTCGCCACTGGCTGGGCTCGGTCAAGTCACGGATTTCAGCAATCCGGTTTGCCACAAATGTGTGGAATCTCTTGCTGTCGTTGGCTATGTAGCTCAAAACCACCTGGCTGTCACTCCAAAACACCACCCGGTGCACCTCTTCAGTGAGCTCTTGGACAACCGACGCTGCCAGACGCACAGCCAGCACGGCTGCCTGAGTTTCCAGGCGTACGATAGATAGTTTCTTGAGCGGTGCGACTCTACACTTGCCCAAGACAAACGCACAGTGAATGGTTCCGTCTGAGTACTCGTGACGCAGGTACGCCACGGCTCCAAAAGCCTTTTCAGATCCGTCACAGAAGACGTGGAGATCTCTTCTCAGAGGGGCTTCTCCTGAACGCCATACCATCGTGGCAGCTTGGTGTCACTCAGCCGGGGCAGCTCCTCCATCCATGCCGCCCATCGATCAGATTCCTCTGTGGTGAGTGGGTCATCCCAGCCTTGCTGGCAAGACCAGAGTGCTTGCAGCTGCAGTTTGGCTAGAAGCACAAACGGCGAGGTGAATCCGAGTGGGTCAAAAATAGACGCCACGACGCGCAGTATTCCTCGCTTCGTTGCCGGCTGCCGCACATTAGCCAGCTCACTGGGCGCCGTGCTGCTAATCTCATCCTGCTCGGCATCCCAGGTGACACCCAACACCTTCTCAGTTGGCAGTGTCTTCTCTAAGTCAGCTGTACTGGGAGCCCGCTCCTGCACAGGAATTCCGACGAGGACAGACTTATCATTGCTGAGCCATTTTCGCAGCCGGAACCCGCCTCTTGAAATCAGCTTTGTCACCTCGATTACGATAGTTTTCGCCTGGGCGGGGCTGTTGACTGAAGTTACCATGTCGTCCATGTAGAAGTCTTCTACCACGATGGCTGCTGCTTTACGACCCTCGGGAGTGTCTTCAGCCCTCTCTTCTGCGGTCTTCTTCAATACGAAACTCGCTGAGGCGGGTGACGAGCGAGCTCCGAAGATGACCCGGTCCATTTGATAGGTGCTCGGGGGTCTGTCTGTCTCTAGATCCCGCCACAGGAACCGGAGTGCCGGCTGATCCTCTTCTCGGACCGCCACCTGCAGGAACATCTGCTCAATATCGGCGATAAGAGCCACTGGCTGCTGGCGGAAGCGAAGCAGCACTCCTGGGATTTGTTTCAGCAGGTCTGGGCCCGTTAGCAAATTCTCGTTGAGACCACCCGGAATTTACCAGGTTTGCTCGCGCTGGTTACCGCGTGGTGCGGCAAATACCAGCACCTCTGATGATGCTTCTGTAGTTCCTCTTCGGTCAGCAGACGGGCGTAGCCTTTATCCAGATACTCTCTCATAGTGTCGCGGTAAGCTGCAGCCTTTTCTGGTGCTCGTCGGAGCGCCTTCTCCGTAGATTCGAGGCGGCGCAGGGCCATGCTACGGTCATTGGGCAGGGGGGCGCAATCAGGTTTCCACAGAAGGCCGGTTTCATACCTGTCACCTCTCCACTTGGTGGTGGACTCCATCATCTCTTCCGCCAGTCGATCTTCATGAGAGCGAGGCTGCTACATACATATTGTACCTTGTTCCAAAGGCCTCGGTAGACCAGAAGTCTCTCACTAGAGCTTGCAGCTTCTCTTCGCCTTCACAGCGGTGGGCCACATGCAGCACTTCTCGGGAGCCGACCGGTAGAAGCTGTGCCACGCTGCCCGTCAGACACCACCCAAAATACGTCCGGATGGCTGCCGGCTGGCCTGGCCCACCTACTCGGGCCTCCCGCTGGAGAATCGCCTCCAGCACATTAGCACCTAAGAGTAATTCGATCTTCCGTCCGTTGGTGTCTGGAATCGAGATGCCTTCCAGGTGTTTCCACTGAGCCCTTTTTGACCAATCGACTCTCTGCGGCCGGATATTGAGCTGGGGAACGGAGAAGACTTCGGGCACCTTTACAGGCTCACATTGCCCGTCTGCCGACAGCGGAGCCACCTGCAGTGACACCTTCATTGTAGGCCGGGTCATGCCGGTACCCTCAACGTTACCGAGTGAGCTTCTCCGTCGACCCAGTCACCGACAGATCCCGAAGCACGCTCTCAATGCATAATGATGTGTCCGCTCCCCAGTCGAGCAGCGCGTGCGTGTCGACGAACTTCCCAGCTGGGCCGAGTACTCTCACGGGAACCACTTGCAGCAGTGCTTTACGTGGCCCGCTCGTTGCATCCAAGGCTGTCGCCATCACACTTCTCGGCTGGTCAGCAGCTAGTGCGGGAGCATCCTGCTCCTCTGAGCGCCGACTCGAGTGATCGGGCACATGCAGCAGTGGGTGATGCTTCCCACGACAGCCGTTCTCTCCACAGATCAACTTCTCTCGACACCGGCTGGCCCAGTGTGACTCGCCGAGACAGCGATAACAGCGTCTGTTGTCACGCGCGAGCTGCAGGCGGTCGACTGGCGCCATGGCTTTGAAAACTGGACAGCAATCCAGATTGTGCGCCTCTCCATCGCAGGCCGGACATGGAGCGGGCTCTGTTGCCGTCGCTGTAGCCAGAGTGGTGCGCTGGCTGCTGCCTCTCCGTCGACCGGCTGGCTCTGCCGGAGCCACCCGCTGCGTTCTGGGCATCATCACCTCCCGCTGTCTAGAGACACTGAGCGCGCGGCGACCAGCCAGCACCAGCGGTCTCAGCCACTGGTCAACGTCTCCCAGCGTGGGACGACGTGGTGCCATCTTCAGCTCCACCTGGCCCCACTGCCAAGCCAGTGACCTTGGCAGCTTTTCTAGGACCTGGTCCAGGTTTGTTACTGCAGCGAGGTCAGCTTCGAAACCTCTGGCGGACAGAACACTGACGGCGGCGTGGAGGGCGCGAGAGAACCGCATCAGGCTCTCGACATCATTTTCCTTTATGGAGTGATGCTTGAGGACACCATCAAGGGTAGCTGTTACAACCGCGCGAGGGTCCCCAAATTGCATATCCAGCTCTTTCAGTGCCTCTTCATACATGTTGCCGTCACATAAGAGCCCACGCACTGCTTCTCTCGCTTCGCCTGTCAGACAAGACTGCAGGTAGGTCAAACGTTCGGTGTCTGAGAGAGCGCCGTTATCATGCACCAGAACCCGGAAAAGTCCGCTCCACCGTGGCCATTCGAGTGGAGAGCCATCAAACTCGTCCAGCGTTATCTTGGGCAGTGATGAGGTCCGGCGCTGGCCGTCACCGCACGGCAGCTCACTCAGCCAGCGCTCCGTGCGCTCCCGGGCGTCAGCATTTGCATTTTGTTCAGGCAGGTGAGCTCGCTGGGGCCCTGCAGCGGACTGAGATCGTATCTGATTCACATCGGTTAACTGCTGCATCTGACCGTGTCTTGATATGACACCGGAGGGCGGCCTAGGGTCTGCCGGCGCTCCATTTCCCTCTCTGTCTCTATCTTCAAATACCAAATCGTTCGGGGACTGGGACTTCAAATCGTCGTCTTCCATGAGCCGCAATTCTAAAGCATCGATTTCGGCGGCGTCAGCAGCCCTCTGAGCCTCTGCCCGGGCCTCCTGTATCACGAGTTGGGCCTCAGCCTCAGCAGCGGCGGCGGCAGCGGTGGCCGCCCGTCTTCGTGACTCCAGCGCTCGTTCAGCTTCATCAGCCGCTCGTCTGGCCTGCAGCGCCTTTAACTGGGACACCTGAGCCTTCCTGCGCTTGGCACTGGCTGTTGAGGTGCTGGTTCCAGCCTCACTCCTCGTCTTCAGGCTGGCCTCCGACGTACTCGTATCTCCGCTCATTTTTACGTTACGAAAATATGAAACTCGTTAAAAGTCCTCAAACCTTAAAATAATAGTTCTGCATTGGTTACGTTAGTTCGTTACAGCGTTATGCGCATATGTTTCAAAATCTAAATACTGATGCAAGTTCTGAGTTCAAATGCTTAAGTGCGTTACGTTAATTCTGAATCCGGCCCGGAGGACCATAATGTTGTGTCTGCAACATTAAACAAAAGTGCCGGATCTTTCCAATCAAGAAAAAACGGAAACGCAAGCAAACATTTCATTCATTCGTCGAGCCAAAGCAATAACAATACCACAATGAACCAAGTTTTGAGCCAAATTTCAAATTCCTTTTTTCCCCCGTTATCATTTCTTCACATTCTTCATCAGTGTAACAAATTTCATTTTTCATGCGCCTTTTGTCTCGCGCCATCGTTCTAATATGGACTTTGTTCGGACAGAACACCCTATATACCAGGTAGGGTCGTCCGGCGATTCTACCTGATCGTGACGTCAGCTCGTGACGTCATCTGGGGGCAAGTCTTAACCCGCGCCCTGCTGGGGGGGGGGGGTGTTTGAACACGCCCCTTGTGGTTTTTCGCGAAGCCGTTTTTGGTACACCTTATCATACATCAATTCTACACATGTTGTGAAAATTTCAGACCAAGGTCATTCAAGGTCAGGTCACCAGGTCACTTGAAGTGACCTCACCTCATAAAAACTTTCAATGTCTGTCATAGCTACACCGAGTGACCGATCGCTTTGAAACTTTCAGCGATTGCTAAGAGCAATAGCATGTACAAAATGTATATCTCAGAATTTTGATATCGATGACCTAAGGTCAGGTAAATTTTGCGACCTCCCCATTATAAGTCAATGGGAGAAAATTGAAATGCGCCTCTTTTGGATGAAAGACATTATAAACACTCCCAAACACCGAATTACAAGTGGTTTAGACACACTGAACTTGAAAATGGTGTCCGTGACCCTTGTTTATGCCCTGAGGTCATCTTAGGTCACGAATGGTATCTAACAGTTTTTCGCAAATAACTTTTGATAGAGGCATGCTAGAGCGATGAAAACGCCTTAGATGTGTTTAGCTCGACGATACGGATCGACTGATATGCAACATGACCCTTTCCCGTCAGGTCATGACCTTGAACTGAGGTCAAATTTTCAAGTTGACCTTTCAAGGTCAAGTTATAGTTCATTCGATGCGTCTTGACGAGAGGAACACGATGCCGGTAAACACGGGTGGAGAATGTTTGAAAAAGTTACCCCGGCCGGCGACCGAAAGTCGGAAAGACGATGATGCTCAAATATTTGTCAACGGTTATCAACAAATCTCTATTCTCTGGCAGAGAATAATGGATGTCTGCCGTTTGTACGTTTTTAGGGAAAACTGCTGCACGCAGCTGCGGATCAGATTTCGTAATTGTAACAACAATTTTGCAACACGCCTTAAACTTTCGGACGCATGTCACCTAGTGCTAGCCGCTAGGTCAGGTCATCAGGTCAAATTTGCTGGATGATCGTGCTAAAAATGTCATCATGCCCTTTGCAAAGCTTATTCCGTGGAAGTTGCAACCTTCCCACACAAAACAAAATGTCAAATTTGTCCGTTTTGACCCTCTTATTGATTTGAGCTCGCACCTGAAATATTTTCGCGACCGAGCCTTACACGAGTAATCGAATGTTTTGTTGGCAGTGTTTAAGCTCCGTTATGTTCATGAACTGTGAGAAAAGTTGTCGGAGAACGCTAAAATCACAGAAATTTGGCTTTTGATGATCTATGGTGATTTTATTATTGAGCTTGCCTAAAACATGACCAGATTTCTCTGATCACGTTTGTCGCTCTTTCAAACGTCGTTCCGCTTCTCGCCTCGTAGCCCAGTAGCCGAGTTAGAAGGAGCGTGAAAAGCCTACCTTTCGACTCAACGTGTTACGATAGGGCCCCTGGCGCGGATTAAGTTGGGGGAGTCTTCACCTTGAGCCCCAACAGCTCGTCCTTCTATCTCACTGATATTACCCTCGTCCTGTCTTGTGATGTTATTACAGTGCCATCTTACGATAACGGCCCTTAAATATGATTTACTTCTGTTTGATGAAACATGTCGGGCTCCGCGATGAAAAAACTTAAAAACATAGAAGCTCCAAAATGAAAATAAAGTAAATTTTCAAGAACTTTTCAAGGTAGATAAGAATAATGACAAACACTTTTATAGATGGCAGTTTTTTTCGTATGGAGACAGCTTTTAGGATTTACAAAAGTGGAAAAAGTTACCCCGGCCGCGCCGGGGGCGGCTGAAAGTTACCCCGGCCACGGCCGGGGTGGCCGGGGCAGGTTCTCCACCCATGCCGGTAAAAGTAAGCTCGTACAAGGCTTGGGTCAAAAGTTATTGCAGAAAAACTGTTTTCGAAAAAATCGGCTATTTTGCAGTTTTTGCCCCCTGCAGGCAAAACCGTTGACTTTAGGTCAAATCTGAGAGAATTACTCAGAAAGGGCGTTAATAGGGCTATCGAATGAGCTTTTCCGCGGCGCTGTAGCTCTATTGGTTCCCGAGTTATGCGTTGGCTTCTTGGAAATTTTCGACATTCGACCTGGAAATCGGCGAAATTTTGCCTTCAATGACCTCTGGTGACCTGACCTTTGCCCTGACCAAAAAAAAAAAATGACCGAAGTGATTTCGTCATTATTTTTTACGCTCTTTCGAACGCCGCCTTCCGCGTATCGCTACGTGGCCCAGGAGCCGAGTTACAAGGGGGGGGGGTGTTCAAACACCCCCCCCCAGCAGGGCGTGGAAATCCAGGACCCCCAG